ATAGGACGCGGCACAGTGTCAGCTGAGACACCGACCTTCTGGCAGCAACCACGACCAAGAGGACCACTCTGAGTGACGTTACATACGGCAACGTAAGTGCCACCAGCGGTCGTCGCAGCAGAAGCAGTACCAACGGTAGAAGAGCACCGCGAAGTACCACGGCAGACCCAGACGAGACGACTAGGCATGAACTTCTTGCCATCGTGGAGCATCTCGCTGAAGCGGATAACGATGTCATCCTCGATGCTGCGCTTCTGCTTCCAGTGAGGGGAAGCACCAATGACGGTAGGACGAGCAGCGTACTGAGTAGCAGCGTCACCAGAGCCAATGTAATGCTCATTCGCAGCAGCGTAGTTGCTATCGAAGTAGTCCAACCTGCCCGGATAAGAGGTGTACCAGTCATTCTGGAATACGGTAGCAGTTGAAGAGACAGAGTCGTTACGACCACCGATGATGTGAAGCGTATCGTCACCAGTCTGCACAAGGCAAGAGTCTGTGCGTGGGGCGAAAGTGTAAGCAGCGCCAGTCTTTCCAACACCATCCGAAGCGATGTTAGCCGTGAGCTGCTCGAAGGTGTCACCACCATCACGAGACCTCCACACATCAGAGTAAGGAACACCAGCAGAGGTACTGCCGCCAATGAGAATCAGATCACCTTGACCGTTAGCGAACATGCGGCCGCCATGTCTGTCCCTGACCTGATCGGCAACCTTGCCACCTTGTTCCCAGTAAGAACAATCAGCGGAAGCACACTTCCAGCACTTCTCGAGGCCACCACCGCAGACCACGAGCTTCCAAGCGCCGACAACACCAGCAGCAGAACTCTCGAAGCCAGAGTAAGGGAACTCGGGACCGAGCTGCCAGATGCCATCGACCTCACTCGGGATAGTGCTAACTGTGAAGCCTTCCGCACCAATAGCGGTGAAGGAAGCGCCCATATCAGCACTCCTCACAATGCCGCTAGCACCAGTAGCACTGCCGACCACGTAGAGGTAGTCGCGAGTGCAAAGGATCTGAGGATTCTTGCGGGACATGCCAGCAACATTATCACAGTTCCAGGTGATACCGTG